TTACATTGAGTTTAGGGCTGCTTTGAGTTAGTTTCTTGAGTATATATGCTGGGCATTGGGATTTAAAATGAATTTGAGGAAGATAATCGAATTTAGGTGGTTTGAGGCTGAAAAACGAAGAAGGAAAAAGTCGAGTAAGGTTCATGAAACAAGTCCGCATCACGGACTTGTTCGCCCTGTGAACAAAAATCTGCTCCGCGTTGCGGAGAGGACGCGGACTCCACTGTCTCAAAATTAATTTCGCGAGCATTTATTTAGGAGCATCTCCGCGTTGTGGACCTGTTCCAAGACGCTGATTTCGTAACATTTCTCAAGTTTAGTTATTCGAAATCATTCCTAAACATCAAGAGACCTTTCCTATCACAAATCATAATCCTTGAATCCATAATTCAATTCAAGGAAAGTTAAGAGTCAATTCAAGTGAAGTTAAGAGTCAAGTCAAGTGAAGTCGTCAAAGTTTTCAAGGGTCTTTTACAAATGTTCCAACTTTGTTTTAAGACCTAAGTTTCAAGTTAAGCAAAGAGTAAAGAGTTGAGTTCATTTCTCAAAAAGCTATTAGTGAACTAAGTATTCCCAAAGAGTTTATAAATGTTTTCACATTTGAACAAGAAAATGGAGCATCGATTCCAAGAAGCTTTTAAGCTAAGTTTTAAGTAATTATCTCAAACCAAAGAAAGAAGTTGTTTTAAAAATATATGAGCTAAGTATATTTTGGGAGTAGTATTAAGCACCGATATGGGGATGCGAGTTCATATTAACTCAAGTCTCCATAAACCATGTAGTTATCATGGGCATTAATGGGTCATACTTTTTAGATGATCACATAAGTTAAGCTAGTGGATCCTCTAAGTTAAGTAGTTCTATATGACGGCAAAGTATAGGATAGTCTGGCAGCATGATGGTAAAAACGATGTATCACCACTTAGTATCATAGTGGTGGTTGTTGGTTAGAGAAACTCCACAGTAGTAATTTCATGGTTCCTCAAGGGGTTCGACTTAGTATGAATGGGGGTATGGGACTTCATTCATGCATTGCACAAGTACACTTTGAGAGGGAGCATGGTATGTTTTTATAATATTATGATTATGATTGTGACGTCATGTTTTAAACAATTTTCTTTTTTTTATATTGCATTTGTTTTAAACTGCATTATAATGAAATGCGTTCAGTTAAGTATTCATGAGTTGAGAAGAGTCAAGGTAAGTGTTTATTTCATAATCTCTTTCAAGCCTATGTTTGTTAGCATTCCAACTCTCATACTCATACATTCAATGTACTGATGCCAGTTGGTCTGCATCGTCTTATGATGCAGACACACATAACCAGGATCAGCATCCAGCACCTCGTTGATCAGGTTCAACACTCCGAGTCAGTTGGTGAGCCTCCTTGCATTCCGGAGGACTCTTTTATCATTTGCTTTCTAGTTTTCAGTTGTTAGGATGATCGGGGGTCATGTCCTAACATCCCTCTTTGTTTTAGAGGCTTCATAGACATATAGTATTAGTTATTTGGTCTTATTCATTTCAGTTATACACGTTTAAGACTTGCATTTCCATTTTTGGCTAAGTTATTATCTTTTAAGTTATTGCATGAGTTATATCTCTTATGTTTTTAAGTCTTCCGCTGAGTAAGTAAGCCAGGCCAATGATTCGCTTGGGGCCAACAATGATTTCTCGAGTGCCGGCCACGTCCAGGGTGTAGGCTCGGGGCGTGACACTTACTTTTTTATTTTAATTAGTTTTTGGTAATTACTTGGGGGTCTGAACTGAACTTAGTGAGTTTACGCTTTTGGAAAAAGAATTAAGGTTTTGAGAGAAGAGAAAAGAGAAGAAAGGAGAAAATGTTCAAGATCGTTAAGTTTGGCTTTTGGATTTCGTCGGGGTGATCCCTACAAGGTATTTGAGATCATATAGTGTTGGGTTAATTCACCAACGCGCCAATAATGATTTATTTTAGCGAATTTAAGTTCTTGAAAGCTTAGAAATAGTGTTCTTGAATGGGTTTGTTGAAGTTTCATTAGATTCTTGTTACGTTGAATTCATTGAGGAGTTGTTTTATCCTAATCTATGATTTTAGGTTTTATTTTGAGTAGGATTTGATGTACTTTGATAATTTAATCAATTCTAAGTGTTGGGTAAAAGAACCCACGGAGTTTAGAGGGTTTAGAGCTGAAAAACGAAGAAGAAATTTCGTCGAACAAAATTGGGAGGTGGTGGCGCGTCACGGAGCTAGTTCCCAGAATTGGTAATTTTCGTTTCACGTCGTGGAGCCGTCACGGAGTCTTCTGCCTCAAAAGTCATTTTCGAAACTAAATTTTAAAAGCTTCTCCGTGTCGCGGACCCACCCTCAAATATTGATTTTTGGTCTTTTCTCATGTTTAGCTATCTAAAATCATTCCTAAACATCATGAGATCTTTCTAATCACAAATCTTAATCCTTGAATCCATAATTCAATTCAAGGATCAGTTTAGAGTCAAGTCATGATCAGTTAATAGTCAAGTTAAGATAAGTTCTTAAAGTTTTCCAAGTGTCTTTCGCAAATGTTTTAACTTTGTTTTATGACTTAAGTTTTGAGTTCAGTAAAGATGTAAAGTTGAAGTTATTTTCTTCAAAGAAGTATATGGGGACTATGTATTACCAAAGAAACTTAAAATATTTTCACATTTAAATAAGAACGGAAATTGAGATTTCAGAAAAGAGTAATAGCTTTCTAAATGAAGCAAGAAGGGAAACTAAGATTTCCAAGATAGCCTTTGAGCTAAGTTTTTGAGCACTAATCTCAAATCACAGAAGAAGTATGTTTGTTTAAAAACATAAGAGCTAGTATATTTTGGGAGTAGTATTGAGCACTGAATTAGGGGTGAGCATGAGTTCAGATAACTCACGTCTCCATAAAACATATAGTCACCATGGGTAGAAAAGTGTCATACTTTTTAGATGAACCCTTTTTACAATAGACTAGTGGATCCACTTAGTTAGTGAGGTCTTATACCCCTGGCAGGGTATAGGATGCGCTGGCAGCGTGAGGAAGATCATTGTATCATCACTATAGCTCTTAAATGATGGTTGTCGGTTAGAGAAACTCCCACAACAATACTTTGTATTTTTATATACATATATTTATTTGTATTTTTAGATACATCTCAGAGTTATTTGTATCTTTGCATACACACAGAGTTGACATCATGTTTTAAACAATTTTTCTTTATATTGCACTTGTTTTAAACTGTTTTATATTGAAATGAGTTCAGTTATGCTGAGTTGAGTTGAGCCAGGTAAGTGTTTCAGCTCCTTTCAGATTCTTTTCAAGCCTATGTTGTGTTTAGCATTCCAACTCGCATACTCGTACATTCAATGTACTGATGCCAGTTGGCTGGCATCGTATCATGATGCAGACACAGGTAACTAGGATCGGCATCCAGCGCATCGTTGATCCAGTGAGCAGTTCAGAGTTTGTTGGTGAGCCTCTTTGTATTCCGGAGAATCCCTTTTGTTTGCTTTCAGTATTAGATAGTTCATTAGGATGTCGTGGGCCTGTCCCGACATCCATCTTAGTTGTTTTAGAGGCTGCATAAACAGTCAGTTAGATGTTAGTTCATTCGTCATCATTTTGTTATTGACTTATGTTCAGATTTGAGTTGCTATTTTGGCTAAGTTAAATGTTTATTTTCAAAACATTATAAGTTCAGTTTGAGACAGTTAGGTTGTTTAGCATTTGAATTCCTTTCTTATTGCATATAGTCTTCTGTTGTGTAAGTAAGTCAGGCCAAGGGTTCGCTTGAGGCCAGCAATGGTCTTCGAGTGCCAGCCACGTCCAGGGTGTAGGCTCGGAGCGTGACAAACTTGGTATCAGAGCACATAGTTCAAGAGTCCTAGGAAGTGTATAAAGCAATGTCTGTAGAGTCCTATTTATCGGTGTGAAGCGCGCCACATCTATAATTTGGAGGCTGTAACATTTAGGAATTCCTTTACTTCTTTCATATTCATTTTGTGCATTGAAGTTTATCTCTAAAAAGTTTCTTTCTAACTTGTGCTTACGTGTAATTGATTGTGAGATGGGCTATGTTTGAGAATGCTTTCATGGGGCGTTTCTTTCCCCGTGAGCTAAGAGAAGGTTGCCGACATGAGGAGCAGATGAGTATATTTGTTGTTGGGTTGCCTCTTATGTCAGATAAGGAAAGTAAGGCAGCCATACTGATAGGTGACATGGACATAGCAGGGCTGATGATCCATGTGCAATAAGTTGAAGAGGACAAGATGAAAGATACAAAAGAGTTTAAGAATAAGAAGTCTAAGGCATCACAGAATGAATTCGGGCAGCAAAAGAGTAATGTGAACCAGTCTTCTTTCCAACATAAGCAGAAAGGACCTGCTCCATCATCTGCTAGTGCACCTGCACCAAGGAACAAATGTGAGTACAATAGTTAGAATTCTCAGAACTTCAGAGCTAGACATGCACATTCGCAAGGTAGTAAGGCACAAGGGGGTACTAAAACTCCTGCATGTGTTAAGTGTTGTAGGAGCCATTCAGGGATGTGTCGTGATGACTCCACTAGTTGCTTCAAGTGTGATCAGAACAGTCATTTTATGAGAGAGTGTCCTAAGAGCAGACAGAGTAATGGTAATGAGGACAATAAAGCCCAGTCTTCTTCAGTTGCTCCACCAGACAGAGCTGCATCTAGCTAAACGACTTCAGGGGCAGGCGGAGAAGTAAACTGTCTTTCCTATCACTAGTCGTCGAGAGCAAGAGGATTCAGCAGATGTTGTCACTGGTATGATCCAAGTCTTCAGTTTTGATGTTCTTCCAGAGCAACATCTTGAGCCCTTCAGTGCTTCTACACCTGTTGGTGATTCTATTCTAGAAGAAAGAGTCTATCGTGATTGTTCCATTTTCGTCAATCACAATAGTACCATGGCTGATTTAGTTGAGTTAGACATGGTAAATTTTTGATGTCATGGACTGCTTTCATGCCTGTTATGCCTCAGTTGATTATAGAACTCAAGTAGTCAAGTTCCAGTTTCTAGTGAACCAGTTATAGAAGTTGAAGAGCAGTTCAGCAGTGCCTAAGGGTTGTTTTATTTCGTTATGTGAAATAAAAGTTGAAGAGCAGTTCAATTGGTTATGTGAAAGATCCATATCATACAAACTAAACAAGTCCATTTCATCAGGTATCACACTGGACAAGTAGTTGGAACTTAGCGACAGGTGACGCAAATCATGCAACTGAAACAACTTGCTTGTAATTGAACCACTGAGAGAATTATGTGACAGATCCAATTTCACAAGATTTTTCAAGTTTCCAATATCTTCTGGTATCGAACCGTTCAAGTGATTCTCAGAAAGATCACGATTTTCCAGTTGAGATGATATTTGTTTTGGCATCTCACCAGACAACATGTTACCATTAAGATACAAATTTAGTAATTGTTTCATCCCAAACAACTCACCTGGAATCTGTCCGCTCAAAGAATTCTTGGACAAGTCCAAATGTTGTAACATTAAGCAATCTTTCATTCTTAGTGGTATAGTTCCTGAAATGTTGTTGTTGGAGAGATCAATGAAGGTAAGGTTAGCTCACATATTATTGTTGATGGAACTGTTCCAGTAATGTTGTTTTCCCCAAGGTTTAGTTGTGTCACTACCCAGTCATCGATGCATGAAACTCCTGACCAAGTGCATACTGAAGAATTCAAATCCCATGACTGGAGGAACTCCGAATCCCTCCAGTGTTGTTTCAAGCTTAGTAATATGGACTGTTCCATGCCCGAAAATTGTAAGGTTTCTTGAAAAAACAGGCTAATTAGGAAGAAAATTTGCATATTAAGCAAAAAATGGTTAGAGCTTGCTGGGAACATGTTAATTGATGCTTCCCTTGTGCTTCTTTTCATTTGATAATGAAGTCTGTGAAGTCAGTGTGGATTTAATAAAGAAATCATATTTCAACAATTAAATAGTCATTCAGAGCCAAGTATTTGGCTTTGAAAAATCAAGCCATAATAATTGTCTCCTTCTGACTAAGTCAAGCTAGTAATTTACTCCCTCCCTTCCTTTGTACTTACCCACGATGACTTGATACCCTCAATATGAAATATGTGAAGTCATGTGAGAAAGAAAAAGAGACTGTGAAAATGAATTTGCAGTTTGTAGGTGCACTTTCTTGTGTTTGCACAAAAATTGTAGCGGGATGATGGATTTGGTCTCTTTATATAGTTTCGGACAATTCTTAGCTTGTTTTTACGGTTGAGTTAGGTTCAAAAGCTATTTCTTATTAATATTATGTTGAATTTGAGCTAATTGAGTTTTCCCATTTTAATAATTCAAATAAATAATTGGCAGTTCTTTAGATTACAAACAAAAACATGTTGATTATGTTATTGATAATCGTTTTCTGGAAAATGCAAAGATCTTCTCGCTTTGCTGGTTTTTTCTTGGCCACAAAGGTCAGTCATGTCAACTTTGCTAGCATTTCCCTTTCATAGTCAGCTACAATTTTTGTCCATGTTGACTGACTTGTGTTGTATGATACACGGTTTCTTCAAAGCTAATTAACTATCCAATCAAAACACTTGAAAAAAATAAAACAAGAGATTGTAGAGAATGAGGTAGCTAGTACAATCAAACCAAAGGAACCATGAAAACTAACCATGTTCATGTTGTAAAATCTACATTTTCAATTCCCAGGAAACAAGTTTACCATTTCATAGTTTCCTTACTTGCCTTTATGCATTTCCAGGGCGGTTTACAGAGTGACATCTACGAAAATGAGAAGAGAATTTTGTTGGAGCTGAAGCAACTATGGGGATTTCATCAATTATTGGATTCCAGTTCCTCACACTGCAGTTGGTATGCTATAGGCTGCAGAAAAATCTACTTCCTGTGTTAGAGTGGGTAAAAGTCCCACATTGGTTGGGAATAGGCAGGTTGTCTGAAGAATTAAAAAAAGATATGGTTCTAACCTCCATTACTCATTTAGCTAAAGCAGCATCATGATTATCCTTCCTAAAGCATTGTTAGACCTTAATGCTCAGTGTGCTTAAAATCTGTCTAATCTCCCGAATGATATATACAAACACTGTAATTGCCACGACACTTAGTTCTTGCCTCGCGACATCTCAATTATGAACAAGGAGTTACATTCTAAGGTAAAGCTTACAAGCCCTTGTGTTTGACACCACTTAAACCAGCTGAGGCTATTGAGACTTTCTCATTCTGTTAAAAAAATACAACTACATTTATTGATGTAAGGCAAAATATTCTGTTTTCTCAAAATATGGTGTCTCTGAAGCTTTGAAGAATGTTGCAGACCTCCTTCATTGACGGCCTACCGTATGGTGTTGCTCCAGTACACATCAGTCCTAGTTTAAAAACACCTCTCATTTGTTCTACATTACTTGTTTCCATGATTTCTTCATCAAGGGCCTCAACAATGTAATTCCCATCTCTGTAACCCTGTTGAGCCCATTGTGCTAGATTCATTTGCTCTTCTCCGAGAATGGGTTGTCTCCCTGTTGTTAATTCTAATAGAACCACTCCGAAGCTATATATGTCTGTCTTTATATTCACTCTGAATGTCGAGGCATATTCTGTGAGGACCAGACATTAAAAAATATTAGAGTTGGATAAATTCTTTTGAGAATTCACGAGGTGTGATATATATTTGAACTGTAATATACCTGGTGCAATGTAACCAAATGTTCCAGCAATAGCAGAAGCTGTCTCAGGATCATCATCCCTCCTGGATAGTATTTTTGCTAGTCCAAAATCTGCTATTTTTGCATTGAATTCTGAGTCCAGAAGTATATTGCTGGACTTAATGTCTCTATGAATGATGGGTCGAGTACAGTCGTGGTGCATATAGCTGAGTCCTTGAGCTGCACCAGTGGCTATTTTTAATCTCTTTTGCCAATCCAGGGCCAGGGTACTACTTTGACCGGGTGACGCTGCTCTTTTCTTTCTGTGAAGCCACTTGTCGAGGCTTTGTTTCTCAAAGTATTCATAGACTAGAAGCTTTCTGTCTAAACTTGAGATGCAACAGATGAGCTTGACAATGTTGTTGTGTCGAATGCTACCAAGTGTTCTAACTTCTGCCAGGAACTCCTTTTGGGGTCTTCCACCTGATTTTTCTCCATGCCCTATGCTTTTAACAGCATAAGTATTGCCTGTTTGGTCTATCACAGCTCGATAGACCTTCCCTGATCCCCCATTTCCTATTATGTTTTCGTCTTTCAAGCTAGATAATATGTCTTCTGTAGTCACGTTCAACTTTTGAAATGAAATGAACTTTATGTTATCTTTGACATTCTGCATCTTTGTTTTCCACCAATGCTTTCTGGTTCTGTGAAAGATCCATAATAACAGTATAGCTACCCCAACTCCTACAATAGGAATAATCAAGTGTTGTGATCTCGAAAGTTTTCGAACCTCATCACCAGAGAGAAAGCTTGGTAGCCCAGGGATAGATAAGCTATTGGATGTAGAAGAAAGATTGGACTCATCAAAGCAATTCTCTTCATATGTTAGCTTAACAAATTCAGAAGAAATTCTTCCTGAGAATTTGTTGGAACATAGCCTTAAACTAATTCTAGGCCTAAGATGTTTTATACTTTCTGAAATGTTTCCTGATAACTGATTATACGACAAATCCAAAGCATCCAGTCCAGTTGAACTTGCAAGTCCCTTTGGAATAGAACCAGTCAATTGGTTATGAGAAAGATCCATATCATACAAACTAAACAAGTTCATTGCATTAGGTAATACACCAGATAAGTAGTTGTAACTTAGCGACAAGTGACTCAATTGGTTCAATTGAAACAACTTGCTTGTAATAGAACCACTTAGAGAATTATGTGACAGATCCAATTTCACAAGATTTTTCAAGTTCCCAACATCTTCTGGAATCGAACCGTTCAAGTGGTTGTCAGAAAGATCAAGATTTTTCAGTTGGGATGCTGATATTTGCTTTGGCATTTCACCAGACAACATGTTACCATTAAGATACAAATTGACTAGTGTTTTCATCCCAAACAACTCACCTGGAATCCGGCCGCTCAAAGAATTATTGAACAAGTCCAAATGTTGTAACATTGAGCAATCTTTCAGGCTTAGTGGTATAGTTCCTGATATGTTGTTGTTGGAGAGATCAATGAAGGTAAGGTTGTTGAGCTGACATATTACTGTTGATGGAATTGTTCCAGTAATGTTCTTTTCTCCAAGATTTAATTGTGTCACTACCATGCCATTGATGCATGAAACTCCTAACCAATTGCATTCTGAAGAATTCAAATTCCATGACTGGAAAAACTCTGAATCCCTCCAGTGTTGTTTCAAGCTTAGTAATATGGACCGTTCCGTGCCTGAAAATTGTAAGGTTTCTTGGAAAGACAGGCTAATTAGGAAGAAGATTTGCATATTGAGCCAAAAAAGTTTAGAGCTTGCTTGGATCATGTTAATTTGATGCTTTCCTTGTGTTTCTTTTCATTTGATAATGAAGTCTGTCAAGTCAACTCTTATTCCAACAATAAAATAGCCATTTAGAGACAACTATTTGGCTTTGAAGAATCAAACCATAATAATTGGCTAGTTGTCTCCTTTTGACCAAGTCAAGCTACTAATTTACTCCCTCCCCCTTTTAACTTATCCACCATGACTTGATACTCTCCTTTAACAAAATATTTACTTAGAAGTCTGTTTTACTATATTAACCTTATTAATTATGCTTTCGAAATTTGTAATTTGTGTTATTACTTATAGATAGGAAGTGATATTCAAAGAAAAATAATTAATCTCCTATTTTCAGAACCCCAACCCTCAATATGAAAAAAAAGAAGAAAGAAAGATAAAACACATAAGAAAAGGGTGAAGTCATGTGTGAAAGAAAAAGAGAATATGTGAAAATGATTTTGTATTCATTGGGGGTGGGTACTGGATTAGGATGTGTACCAATTTTAAAGTATTATATTTGCTCATCTGATTTGTTAGCAGTTTTTTAAGAATAAAAGGTTGCACCTTGTGTGGGTTAATACTAGTGTGTGCACAAGTGTTTCACACTGGACGAAGGATTTGGTCTCTTTATATGGTTTCAGATAATTCTTCATGAACTTATTTTTGGAATTGAGTTAGGTGTAAATCTATTTCTTATTACTATTATTAATGAAGTAAATACGAAAAATTATATTTATGATAATTATGTATGTGATTGTAATTTAATCAGGAAAAGAATAATTGTAGGCTTATTGACAAGGAAAGGAAAGCCCTAGAGCGCCTATGAATTTTGTGCAAGGATATGATATTGTAAATATTGAATAACAGAAAAGAAAGAGGAAATTTATTCCATAGGTTCCACTTGGTATTTTCACACTGGTTTGGGGATGAACTTTTACTCATTCACGCGCTCCTCAAACATGAGATCACAGCTGCTGTGGAAATGGATCGACAATAAGACCCCGCAAACTTTAGGTATCTACTTAAAAATAAAGTGCAAGTTAGGGGGACTTCATGTATTTTCTCTCTTATCTTCTATTATATTTGATCATCTGATTGCTTTGCTGTTTTTTCTTGGCCACAGACGTCAGTCAAAGTCAATTTTTGTTTCTTATCTTTTTACAGTAAAATTTAACAAGTCAAACTTTGTTAGCATTATACAAATTTTTGTCCATGTTGACTGACTTGTGTTGTATAATACACGGTTTCTTCAAAGCTAATTCATGATCCACAAAATAAAGAGGACAATCAAACCAAAGGAGCCATGAAAATCAACCATATTCATGTTGTAAAATCTACATTCTCAATTCCCAGGAAACAAGTTTACCTTTTCATTGTCTCCTTACTTGCCTTTATCCATTTCCAGGGCGGTTTACAGAGTGACGTCTACGAAAAGGAGAAGAACATTTTGTTGGAGCTGAAGCAACTATAGGGATTTCAGAAATTATGGGATTCCAATTCCTCACACTGCAGTTGGTATGGTATAGACTGCAGAAATGGTTCTGTTACAAGCATCTCTATGCAAGATGGGAATCTACTTTCCGGAACAATTTCACCAATCATATGTGAACTCAAAAGCCTGCAATTGATAGACCTGAGTAGCAACTATATCAGAGGAGAATTTCCTACCTCCTTGTACAATTGCTCAAAGCTGGAATATCTTGATATTTCTTGGAATCAATTCCATGGACCACTGCCTAGTGACATTCATCGTTTGTCGAGGCTAATCCATTTAGATATTGCTGGAAATAACTTCAGTAATATCCCAGGAGCTATAGGTCAGCTTTCTGAATTGCAATATCTATCTCTTAAGTTCAATAATTTTCAACACTTGGATACCCCGAGAAATTGGAAATTTATCAAAGCTTGAGACCTTGGATATATCCTATATTGACAGCTTTAAGCAGGCAACAATTACAGAGGAATTAGGAAAACTGAAGAAGTTGACATCCCTTTTCATTATACGGTCAAATTTGATAGGGGAGATTCCAGAAACATTTTCCGCTCTTTCAGGTCTCGAAGTCTTGGATCTCTCAATGAATTACTTAAAGGGGTCTATCCCAAGTTACTTGTTTGAATGGAAGAAGTTGACGAATCTTCATTTGGAGTTTAACCAATTTTCTGGTAGGTTACCAATGTTGGATGCAAATATGGAATTGATGGGGAGAACTCAAGAAATGTTTTCTAATCTTTCTGGTCTCCAAATCTTAGATCTCTCAGGAAATCACCTAAATGGTTCAATTCCAAGCTACTTATTTCATTGGAAGAATTTAACATCTCTTCTTTTGGGGGATAACCAATTTTCTGGGAATTTACCTAGTATAACTGGAAATTTGAGATTAAGAACATTGGATCTTTCGTCGAATCATCTTTCTGGACATATTCCACAAGAATATGACAAGAATGAATACTACTTTAGAAATAATCTGAATCTATGTAGCAAATATACCAACCATTACATCCAAGTTCCACGTTGCAGTGGAAAAACAAGAGTTGTAATTGCCGTTGTGGCCCCTGTTGCATTTTTAGTCATGGTAACATTGTTATGTTACACATTTAAAAAGAATTGGACTTTCTCCACAGACCAACTCATGCGGAGGAAGAAGAGGCATGAGAACCAAGATCCTGAGTGGATGTTCATTTCTTTCCAGCATTTAGGATTCACAGAATCTGAAATTCTGGTGAATATGACAGAAGAAAATTTGATTGGAAGTGGAGGATATGGGAAGGTCTATCGAGTTGGTGTCAATCCTAATGGGAACTTTGTGGCAGTTAAGAGAATATGGAACAAGAGGAATTTAGACCACGGGCTTGAGAAACAGTTCCTTGCAGAAGTTGAAGTATTGGGTAGCATTCGACATTCTAATATTGTGAAGTTGTTATGTTGCATTTCTAGAGGAAACTCAAAGTTTTTGGTGTACGAGTACATGGAAAATCAAAGCTTAGACAAGTGGTTGCATCACAAGAGAAGAAGTGAAAAAGATATTACTGCCTCAGCACATTGTGTATTGGAATGGCATACTAGACTGCAAATTGCAGTTGGTGCTGCCCGAGGTCTATGTTACATGCATCACGAGTGCTCTACGCCAATCATTCATCGTGACATTAAGTGCAGTAATATCCTTTTAGACCATGAACTGAATGCCAAAATTGCAGATTTTGGACTAGCTAAGATTTTGGCTAAGTGGGGAGAGACAGAGACTGCTTCTGCTATTGCTGGCACGTTTGGCTACCTAGCTCCAGGTATATTTCACTGTTCTCATATTGAAATAAACAAAAACAGACCAGAGTGTACGTATGTATCGTGTTTCTCATTGATTTTATCCTAATACCTTGTTATTCTAATTGGAATTTCAGAGTATGCATACACGTCGAAAGTGAATGCCAAAATTGATGTCTACAGTTTTGGTGTGGTGTTATTGGAGCTGGTTACCGGGAGAGAACCAATTAACGGAGACGAGCATATAAACCTTGCACAATGGGCATGGAACCACCATGAAGAAGGCAATCCAGTGGTTGATGCTATTGATGAAGAAATCAAGGAAGCATGTTTCTTGAACGAAATGAGTTCCATGTTCAAGTTGGGGCTTATTTGCACCAGTACTGTACCTTCTGCTAGACCTTCCATGAAGGAAGTTCTGCAAATTCTATTACTCAGCCTTAATACTTCTTCCTAGCAATTGGCTGCGAATCCAGGATTATCGTTGCTTCGTTATTTGCACTGAAAAATTAAAAGCCCAAATACTTATTCGGCATAATACATATATTGGACCTTAAACTTGGCTTCAAATTTTAACTTTGACCTCCAACTTTCAAAGTGCACAAATAGACACTTTAACTATCCAATCTTTTAATAAATAAACACGCGTGTCTTACCTGGCAAAACGCGTGATGTGCACGCATTTTGCGCGAGTTAGAAGTAATTTTTGAGGCACACAACAGTAAAAAAAATGCTGAAATGACAACTCTACCCTTAATTAATTAATTTATTTTTTAGTTCAAAAATGCACGTGTAAAGTGTTTAATTAGTTGGCAGCCATTGAGTGGCTCACTAATACACGTGGAAGCGTTTGCATTTCACGCTCTTTGCTCCAAAAATCGCGTGTTTATTTATTAAAAGGTTGAATAGTTAAAGTGCTTGTTTGTGCACTATGAAAGTTGGAGGTCAAAGTTAAAATTTGAAGCCAAGTTTAGGGTCCAATATATGTATTATGCCTACTTATTCTACCTTCTTTTCTAGTGAGGTGATGAATCAACTCTTTTATTTTTCTGATTTTTCTTCTCTATCCAACAGTCTAATTAACTCATAAAATGGGATAGATTATAGATTATGGAGAATACACTTGTTAGTCCTTTTCCATAGAACAGTCAATAACGGTCTCAATAAAACGAAAAAGTTGTCCTTATCAAATTTTGTCCTAATAAATACCAGGTATCTGACATCTATCTAAATGGAAAGGTCCTTTAGAACCTCTAGGAAGTTGTTGGAAGGAGAGGTATACCATTGCCTTATTGGAAGGACGTTTGCTACTTGATTTGCCTCTTTGTAGCAGTGCAGTTGTTAACGGTAGCCAATAACATTGGTTTGGTTCATCGTTTGGGAAACGTCTTCAATGATAATCTTCAGCTTGAAGTTGGCAGTCTTATCATCTTTTTTAATATGCTGGTAACCAAAAGTGAATCCAGTTTAATGGTGAAACCACTGAATCCATTTTGGATGCACCAGTCAATACCAAAAAATGTTGCTTGAGCTTCTGCAGTGTTGCTGCTGCCACATTTAATATGGATTTGACATCTTGCTTGATCCTGTACCCTCATTAGCCTGCCCTCCATCGGGGGCATCATATACACCCTCTCCCCTTAGGACTCGGGGCTCCTCACTTTCTTCGCCTAAGATGTCATGTTCACCTCATCTTCTGAAGCTTGTGAACCTAGAAGTCTGTTAGTCCTACTTGACCCTGCTCCATCAGGAGTATCACTGAGGTCAGAACAATTCTAACAAACTAATTAAAACAAGTACCAAAAGAATTGACGAGTAGAAAAACTTGATCGCTTATAGGAACATTTCATTTTTCCAATCACATAAGTTAGCCTAGACCATTAATGAATATCTAATCAATGGTTTTAGCTTTTATCAATTGTGTAAAACTGTTAGAATTTTTATTTTTTATTTTTTGGGTACCCCAGGATAATCCGCAACCGCTACAACCTCTGCCACAAGAACTAGACTTCCTACAAGATTATCATGAGAAGGATTTATGTTTGAAAGAAGGCATTTGCAGTTCATCAAACCTGTATGTTCCAAAAACTTCCTTGGAGAGTTCTGAAGAATTAAAAAAAATAAAAATATATATATATACACTGTAATTGCCAAGACACTTAGCTCTTGCCTCGCGACATCTCAAGTATGAACAAGGAATCACATTCTAAGGTAAAGCTTACAGGCCCTTGTGTTTGACACCACTTAAACCAGATGAGGCTATTGATTTGTCTGAGGATAAAAAATGTCCTCTGACAGTATTACTAAAGTATACATTGCTGGAGGAAATCGTTATCAACACGACTTTCTCATTCTGTTAAAAAAAATACAACTACATTTATCTATGTAAGGCAAAACATTCTATTCTCTCAAAATATGGAGTCTCTGAGACTTTGAAGAATGTTGCAGATCTCCTTCATTGACGGCCTACTAGATGGTGATGCTCCGGTACACATTAGTCCTAGTTTAAAAACACCTCTCATTTGTTCCACATTACTTGTTTCCATGATTTCTTCATCAAGGGCAACAATGAAATTCCCATCTTTGTAACGCTGTTGACCCCATTGTGCTAGATTCATTTGGTACTCTCTGAGAATGGGTTGTCTCCCTGTTGTTAATTCCAATAGCACCACTCCGAAGCTATATATATCTGTCTTTATATTCACTCTAAATGTCGAGGCATACTCTGTGAGGACCAAACATTAAAATTTAATATTGGAGTATAATTCTTTTGTGAAATTCTCGAGGTACAATAGATATTTAAACTGTAATATACCTGGTGCAATGTAACCAAATGTTCCAGCAATAGCAGAAGCTGTCTCAGGATTATCATCCCTCCTGGATAGTATTTTTGCTAGTCCAAAATCTGCTATTTTTGCATTGAATTCTGAGTCCAGAAGGATATTGCTGGACTTAATGTCTCTATGAATGATGGATCGAGTACAGTCGTGGTGCATATAGCAGAGTCCTTGCGCTGCACCAGTGGCTATTTTTAATCTCTTTTGCCAATCCAAGGCCGGGGTACTACTTTGACCCGATGATACTGCACTTTTCTTTCTGTGAAGCCATTTGTCGAGGCTTTGTTTCTCAAAGTATTCATAGACTAGAAGCTTTCTGTCTAAACTTGAGATGCAACACATGAGCTTGACAATGTTGTTGTGTCGAATGCTACCAAGTGTTCTAACTTCTGCCAGGAACTCCTTTTGGGGTCTTCCACCTGATTTTTCTCCATGCCCTATGCTTTTAACAGCATAAGTATTGCCTGTTTGGTCTATCACAACTCGATAGACCTTCCCTGATCCTCCATTTCCTATTATGTTTTCGTCTTTCAAGCTAGACAAAATGTCTTCTGTAGTCACCTTCAACTTCTGAAATGAAATGAACTTCATGTCATCTTTGACATTCTGCTTCTTTGTTTTCCACCAATGCTTTCTTGTTCTGTAAAAGATCCATGATAACTGTATAGCTACCCCAACTCCTACAATAGGAATAATCAAGTATTGTGATCTCAAAAGTTTTCGATTGTTGGATGTAGAAGAAAGATTGGACTCATCAAAGCAATTCACTTCATATGTTAGATTAACAAATTCAGAAGAAATCCGTCCTGAGAATTTGTTGGAACAAAGCCTTAAAGTATTTATAGGCCTAAGATGCTCTATACTTTTTGAAATGTCTCCTGATAACTGATTATACGACAAATCCAAAGCATCCAGTTCAGCTGAATTCGCAAGTTCCTTTGGTATAGAACCAGTCAATTGGTTATGTGAAAGATCCATATCGTATAAACTAAACAAGTCCATTTCATCAGGTATCACACCGGACAAGTAGTTGGAGCTTAGCGACAGGTGACGCAAATTATGCAACTGAAACAACTTGCTTGTAATTGAACCACTGAGAGAATTATGTGACAGATCCAATTTCAAAAGATTTTTCAAGTTTCCAATATCTTCTAGTATCGAACCGTTCAAGTGATTCTCAGAAAGATCAAGATTTTCCAGTTGAGATGATATTTGTTTTGGCATCTCACCAGACAACATGTTACCATTAAGATACAAACTGAGTAACTGTTTCATCCCAAACAACTCACCTGGAATCCGGTCGCTCAAAGAATTATTGGACAAGTCCAAATGTTGTAACATTGAGCAATCTTTCAGGCCTACTGGAATAGTTCCTGAAATGTTGTTGTTGGAGAGATCAATGAAGGTAAGGTTCTTGAGCTGACATATTATTGTTGATGGAATGTTTCCAGTAATGTTCTTTTCTCCAAGATTTAGTTGAGTCACTACCCGGTCATTGATGCACGAAACTCCTGACCAAGTGCATGCTGAAGAATTCAAATCCCATGACTGGAGGAACTCCGAATCCCTCCAGTGTCGTTTCAAGCTTAGTAATATGGACCGTTCCCTGACCGAAAATTGTAAGGTTTCTTGGAAAAACAGGCTAATTAGGAAGAAGATTTGCAAATTAAGCAAAAAACGGTCAGATCTTGATTGGAGCATATTAAAAATGATGCTTCCCTTGTGTTTCTTTTCATATGGTAATGAAGACTGAAGTCATTATGAATTTATAAAGAAGTCATAATTCAATGATAAAATTTGTGTGGAACACAAACGATCAAGTCAACCTAGTAGCTGACCCGTGAAACATCAAGGAAAACAAAAGGATAATGCAGCACCATTGGGGTGGGGACTGGAATAGGATGTGTACCAATTAACAAGTCAACTTTGCTAGCATTTCCCATTCATAGTCGGTTACAATTTTTGTCCATGTTGACTGACTTGTGTTGTATGATACACGATTGGTAATTTAAAACAAGAGATTGTAGAGAATAATGAGGTAGTTACTACTTACTAACAACAAACTCATTCAACTAACAATTCTTTTCACCGAAAGTCACTCAATCAAGGATTTTCCTCACTTAACTTTCTTTTATAACTTCAAAATAACTTAACTAGGTATATTTCACTTAAAAAGTCACTCAATCAATTTAAATGACTTTTTAATTTAAATTTGTTTAATTATAACTTTGACCTTTAACTTTGATAGTGCACAAAGAAATACTTTAACTATCCAAAATTTAAACAAAAAAAACACTTAAATATTTCAGGCAAAACACGTGATATACAAATGCTCGATGTGGATAAGTGAACCACTCAATTGCTGCCAACTAACTAAACTAAATACACCTAGATTTTAAAAATAATAAAAATAAATTATAATATAGAATAAGGGGAAAGTGAAAACAAATCCAATTTTAGGAAAAAGATTACTACACTCTTCTCCTCTTTCTTCTCAAAAAAACCCTAATCTAAAATTTTAAAATTCATGCCCCTTATATTCCAATCAAAGGAAAAATTGTTCAAGATATGTGCTGAAATTTCATATACTAGAACGGTTACCTATTCTTCTTCCTCAATTTAGTGAAGTTATCAAGGTTCAACACTTTACAAACAAGAATTTGCATATTGTTGGTCAGATGCTCAAGCCAATATGGGAATCACTAGAGAAAACTAATGTTTTTGTTGCAAAATTATTTCAAAGTAGCCCATAGATATGGAAAGACGTGAGAATCAATGAACTTTCATTTCTTTTCTTTAGTTTGAAGTGTATTTGTGCTTTAAGTTGTCAAATACTTAATGAAAACACATGATACTTCCTGTATTGTGATTGTCATCGTGAGTAGCAAATTACAATTACGAATTTTTGGAGTCCAAAAAATAAACCTAGAGTGCTAAAAATTATTAAGTAAAATGGTGCAATTAAACTGTTTGATAAATTGCTTGAATGAATTTTTCAGAGATTTTTGTTAAGTTTGAGTAGCAATCTGATATCTAATCAAAATGTATGTAAGGAGTCCCATAGATCGGAGTCGTTGATTGATAGTCTTCGAAATTAAATTGCATTCAATTTTTACAAGTGTATACTCACCCATCTTGCTTACAATAGATATAGTAAAAAAAACTTCATTTTAGCTTTTTTTTTCACAATAAAAAAATAATAATTTAATGTCACTTGCATGTTGTTGCATTTTGCAATGAACAACAAATAATGCAAAAAAGAGGGGAAAATTGTTGAAAAATTAGAAAGAGAATAAAGTGAAATTTAATTTAAAAAATGAAGATATATTTATATGAAAGGATTGATTAAGGATTTAATTGTCTTTTCAATGTTTTTTTACTGTTGGCCCCCTCAAATTTTACATCTGACGCGCCTAATTTGGGTGTATTTCACTCATTTTCCCAGGTAGGATTCGAGTGTTTTTTTTGTTTAAGTTTTGGATAGTTAAAGTGTCTATTTGTGCACTAACAAAGTTAAAGGTCAAGTTATAATTTGAAACCAAGTTAAGGATGTAATTTATGTATTATGCCTTTATTTTTTTGAAATGAAATTTTTGTTTTCAAATTATGAAAACATACTGAAATTGTATTTGAACAGAAAAAGATTATTTGAGAAGAAGAAGATGAAAAGTATATTTCACAATGTCTATCAATTATAGTATTTATAGACTCTTATAATCATCTAGGAGTCTCTAGAAACTTCTAGCCTACTTAGCTCTATCACCACTTTAAACTAACTAAAAAACTACAACTAACACACTGAAACAGTAACAAACTAACTCAATATAACAGTGAAACAGTAAAAACAAAATTGTGTACTGATGTTGCATTGCAGTCACTAACTAACTTATGCAACTATTATTTCAACACTCCCCCTCAAGCTGTGGGGTGAGAACATTAAGAACACCAAGCTTGCTCAATAGATGTAAGTGTTGGTCTTGACCCAAGCCCTTAGTCAATATATCTGCCACCTGATGTTGAGTAGGCACATACATAGGTTTCACTGTCCCAGCTTTCACTTTGTCTCTTATAAAATGGCAATCGATCTCTATGTGCTTAGTACGCTCATGAAATATGGGATTGGCTGCTAGTTGAATAGCAGACTTGCTATAACTCAAAACTGTGACTGGCTTATGAATATGAGCATTTAGCTCTGCAAACAACCCTTCAAGCCAAGTAATTTCTGCTACAGCTGAGGCCATACTCCTATATTCTGCCTTAGCTGAGCTCCTAGATACAATGTGTTGTTTTTTTTTATTTTCAGGAAATTCGTGATTCTCCAAACTTCACTACATACCCTGTGACAGACCTTCTTGTGTTAGGGCATGCAACCCAATTAGAATCACACCAACATATTAACTCTGCAGCAGTTTGAGCTTTCAACCAAATACCTTGCCCCACAATACCCTTTGGGGTCGTTTGGTTTGAAAATGAGTTATGATGGGATAAGTTATGTTGGGATAAGTTATGTTGGGATTAGTTATGATGGGATAAGTTGTGTTGGGATTATTTTTTATTGAGTGTTTGGTTTGTTGTATTCAAAATAATAAATTTTAAGAACAATTTATTTGTTTACAAAAATGCCCTTCATTAATGTAAAAAGTGATATAACAAAAGGGTTGAAAGAGACATTTTTGTCATTTACCTATTTTATCCCGGGATAAGTTATCCCGGGATTACTATACCACCCAAGGAGAGGGATAACTTATCCCGGTACTAATTATTAATCCCGGGATAAGTTATCCCGAACTTGCCAACCAAACAACAAAATAAGCGGTACTATAATTTAATCCCGGGACTATTTGTTACTATACCTCACACCAAACGAGCCCTTTAAGTATCTAATCACTCTATTTGCAACTTCCAGGTGAGATTTCTTGGGTTGTTGCATGAACTGGCTCACTGCCTGTACAACATAACTAATGTCAAGTCTGGTTATAGTTGCATATAGCAATTTCCCAACCAACCTCTGATAGCCAGTAATGTCCCTTAACACAGCATCTCCAATGACTCCATTAGCTTTGTCATATTCCACTGAGGTCAGCTTAGAATTAGATTCCAAGGGGTGTACATGATGGCTTTGCTCCTGCAAGACCTGTTTCAGAAATAAACTCAAGAATATACTTTCTCTGATTCAGTATAACTCCTTGTGTTGATCTTAGTACTTCAATCCCTAGAAAATATTTAAGTTCTCCCAAGTCCTTGAGTTTAAATTGTTGATGCAACACTTCTTTTGCTTCTTTGATCATAGACTCATTATCTCCAGTAATAAGGAGGTTATCAACATATACCAAGACTATAACCATTCCTTCATTCTTTTTCCAAGTGAACAAAGAATAGTCATGATTACTCTGAATGAACCCTGCCTTTAATAATGTTGTGGTAAGTTTGATATTCCATTGTCTTGAGGCTTGTTTAAGTCCATACAATGACTTAAGTAATCTACAAACCTTATGTTGTTCTTTCTTCTTGAAACCCTTTGGCATCTCCATATACACTTCTTCATCTAAATCCCCTTGCAAAAATGCATTGTATATATCCATCTAATATAAATACCACCCTTTTTGAAACAGCTAAGACAATGACACATCTAACAGTCACCATTTTTGCAACATGTGAAAAAGTATCATGATAGTCCAACTCTTCTTGTTGACTATATCCTTTTGCCACTAAGCTAGCTTTGAACCTCTCTAAATCTCCATTTGCTTTATATTTAATCTTATATACCCATTTTGAACCAATTACATTCTTCTCAAGGGCAGATAAACTATCTCCCAAGTGTGAATATCTTCAAGAGCTTGTACCTCTAACTTCATAGCCTATATCCATTTTTCATCTTTAACAGTCTGACCAAAGTTTTGTGGTTCAACTAATATGGAGAACTTACTCAAATAACATTGATAGTTAGGAGTTGTATTATCATAGGAAAGATAACTAGCCAGTGGATATCTTATGCCCTTTCCTGTTTTAGGTCCTGCATAGTCTCTCATCCACACAGGCTGTTGAGAAACTCTAGAGGTTCTTCTTGGTGGAGTAATACCAGTTGAAGAAGGTGTTTCAATGATTTCCCCAGCTGGTGATGCATTCTGTGATGTAGGAACTAAGTTGATATGAGTGGATACCTCAACAGATAACAAGAGGTCAGACCCAAGGTCTGCATTATTGTCCAACACTGTGTCTGAAGTTGTATCAACATTTTCTACTTCTACTTCAGGAGATTGATTCATTTCATCATTTGATTCTTCATAAGGAACTAAGAAGTTTGTGGAACAATTATCTGAGACTTTATCCTTGGCAAATGGAAAGATGTGTTCTTGAAAAATGACATCCCTATTGACAAAGAACTTGTTAGTGTTGTAATCCAACAACAAGTATCCCTTCTGTGTAGTAGAATATCCCATCATGCTAACAGGTCTAGCTCTTTCTGAGAAGTTATCTCCCTTTGGAAGTACTGAGGCATAACACAAACAACCAACCACTCTAAGATGGGACAAGGAAATACATCTAGAAAATAACAGTTCAAATGGACTTTTACCCCCTGTAACTGATGATGGTAACATGTTCATTAAGAATACTGCAGCATTAACACTCAGTCCCCAAAACTTGATTGGCATGTGAGATTGGAATCTGATAGTCCTAGCTATATTCAATATATGTTTGTGCTTCCTTTCTACCACACCATTTTGTTGTGGTGTGTGTGGACAACTACTTTGATGCACTATTCCTAAAGATTGAAACAATTCTCTGCATTGGGAGTTAAAAAATTATGTGCCATTGTCTGACCTTATGACTTTTACAGACACACCAAACTGAGTTTTGATCATTAAGAAGAAATTTTTGAGTGCCACAATAGTTTCAGACTTCAATTGCAACAAATGAACCCAAGTGTACCTACTACAATCATCCACAACTGTCAAGAAGTAATGTTTCTGATCAAAAGTTGGAATTTTATATGGTCCACATAGATCTACATGTATAACATAAAAAACACATAGTTGATCTGTTCTCACTAATTGGAAATGGTAATCTAACTTGTTTAGCTAAAGGACATACATGACAAGTATTCAAGGAACCTATGTCTTTATTATGTTGTAAAAGAGATAATCACTTCAGAACTTGAGTTGAGGGATGCCCAAGTCTCTTATGCCATAGTTTGTTGTCTTGCACTACTATTCCTGCAATCAGACTTTGATGTTTTTGAGCCTTATATGTTTCCTTCATTCCATGTGCACCTTTGAAAATGTATAATCCCCCTTTCTCCTTACCAATCCCCTTCACCTTGCCACTGTGAAGGTCCTGAAACACACAAAAATAAGGATAAAATGAGACAAAGCAGGACAGTTGTTTAATGGCATTGGACACTGATAACAAATTATACTTGAAATCAGGAACAAGTAATACATCTTGTACAACTGCATCTTCAAAAACAAAGGCCTCTCATATGTGTGATATATCTGCCTTAGCACCAGTGGGAAGATGGACCTTATCCCTTACTTCACGACTCTTTGAAAACACACTTTCGTTTGCTGTCACATGATATGTAGCACCAGAATCTACTATCCATTCTTGTGATTCTACATGAGATAATAAGCAAGTAGACATACCTGACATATTGACTTGTTTTATCTCATGTAGATCTTTGTTCAAAAGCTCCATGATCTGTTTGTATTCTCCATCTGTAAATGCTTGAGCCTTGGATAATACAACATTATTAACCTCTTTGTTCCCTTCCTGATAGGTTTGCGATGCATTCTAACTGACATCTCCATTTGAATTATTTCCAGTAAAGTTAGTCCTGACTTGACTTCCATACTGAGGTCCATTGTTAAATCCTCCAGACTAAGAACCTGCTCCTCTTGAATTTCCATTATTGTAGTTCACTTTCATTCTTTACTTCCAATCTGTAGGATAACCTATCAGTTTATAACAATTCTCTCTAGTATGTCCAGTGAAATGGCAATAGTCACACTTCTTTCCTTTGTAGTTCTGATTTCCGTAGCCGATTTCTGCATTTCTATTCACCTGCATTGCAATTGGATTAACTCTTTCACCCACACCAGTCATACATGCCAAATGTTGAATCTCATCTTCTATTATCATTGCATACTCTTGATTTATAGTAGGTGTAACTCCTTTCAATAGGATTTGTCTTCTAGCTTGATCATACGAATTATTCAAACCACTCAAAAACTGAATTAGTCTAAGCTCGTATAGGTGATTTGTATAGTCCTTTGACTTTGGGCAGACACAAGTTGAAGCTGGTACCACAACATCATATTCACTCCATAGACTCTTCAACTTAGTAAAATAATTCAACACTGAATCAGTACCTTGTATGAGTGAATTGATTTCTCTATGTAGTTGATAAAGTCTCATGCGATTCACCTTATCGAATCTCTCCTTCAGGTCCTTCCATACATCATATGCACTTGCTGCATAAAGAATTCCACTCAACAATTCCTCATTAATAGAGCTCATCAACTATGATAAGACAATTGCATTACAAATTTCCCACTGCTCATGCAACTCATCCTTGCACAATGCTCTGCTACAGGCTCCAGTCACGAATCCATATTTCCTTTTCCCTAACAACGCGATTCTCATTGATCGACTCCAAACTCCATAGTTTTCTGATCCAATTAGCTTGATAGGAATCAATGCAGCACCAGATACATCAGTTGGGCGTATATACAATGGATCTCTCGGATCTATCTTAATACCTGCCATTTCTGAATCAATAATCTACAACAGATCTAATCTTCTTCAACCTTCGTCTCTAGCCTGTTCTACATATACATTGACAAATCTTCTCTGATACCATATGCAAACATACTGAAATTGTATTTGAACAGAAAAAGATTATTTGAGAAGAATAAGATGAAAAGTATATTTCACAATGTCTGCCAATTACAATATTTATAGACTCGTATAATCATCTAGGAGTCTCTAGACACTTCTAGCCTACTTAGCTCTATCAACATTTTAAACTAACTAACAAACTACAAGTAACACACTGAAACAGTAACAAACTAACTAACTCAATATAACAGTGAAACAGTAAAACAGAATTGTGCACTGATGTTGCATTGCAGTCACTAACTAACTTATGCAACTATTATTTCAACACAAATATTTTTCCTTTATCGTGATTGGTGATGTTATTATATTGCATTTCTAGTGGAAACTCAAAGGTTTTGGTTGCATCAGAAGAGAAGAAGTGAAAAAACTATTACTGCCTCGACAAATCGTGTCTTGGAATAATGGCGTACTAGTCTGCAAATTACAGTTGGTGCTGCCCGAGGTCTATGTTACATGCATCACGAGTTCTCTCCTCCAATCATTCATCGTGACATTAAGTGTAGTAATATCCTTTTAGGCCATGAGTTGAATGCCAAATTTGCAGATTTTGGACAGGCTAAGGTTTTGGCTAAGTGGGGAGAGACAAAGACTGCTTATGTTATCGTTGGCACGTTTGGTTACCTAGCTCCAGGTATATTTCACTGTTCTCATATTGAAATAAACAACAACACACCAGAGTGTACGTATGTATCGTGTTTCTTATTGATTTTATAATACCATGTTATTCTAATTGGAATTTCAGAGTATGCATACATATCGAAAGTGAATGGCAAGATTGATGTTTACAGCTTTGGTGTGGTGTTATTGGAGCTGGTTACCGGGAGAGAACCAATTAACGGAGACGAGCATATAAACCTTGCACAATGGGCATGGAACCACCATGAAGAAGGCAATGTAGTGGTTGATGCTATTGATGAAGAAATCAAGGAAGCATGTTTCTTGAACGAAATGAGTTCCATGTTCAAGTTGGGGCTTATTTGCACCAGTACTATCCCTTATGCTAGGCCTTCCATGAAGGAAATCTTGCAAATTCTATTACTTAGCCTTACTACTTCTTCCTAGCAAATTCTTAGTAGTAAGCTTAGTGTTGCTCCCAATTGCACACACAAGTGTACGTGGTCGTGCAAGTAATATAGTTGCTCTTAAAAGAATCGGATTATCGAACCCAAATACTTGTCTATTAACTATTTACTAAACTATACTAATTCTAATAATTTATTTAAGGGGAGGATTTCAAAAGATGAATATATATTAACTAAACAAAAAATAAAGATAAAATAACTAAAAAGCAACTAACTAAGAAAAGATAGATATTTCACACAATCAATGAATGAAGCGATCTAGGATTATGATTTAACTAACAATCATGTTTAGCATCACTTTTATCAACTTATTTGATTATCTAGTTGCTGATTCATGGGGTTGATAATATAGTCATGATCTCCCGACCTCTAACCGTCTACCACAATTGACAGCCTAACTACATCGTTGAGCGGGGATAGCGGGGATAGACTAAACCAACTGTGGAGCATTAAGTTGTCTTCCCAATTAAGTAATAAATAATAAAATATACATGTCATCATATCATACAAAATGAAAAAGGTTAAACAAAAGAATATATTTTATCTTTTACAATAGTTATACTGTGTACCCTACTTTTCTTAATTATTATGTGTCACATTATGTAACAATGGAAAACGATACAATCTGTTCAATCATGATATCTATTAAAACAATAGAGTACGATACAATATAATGTAACAACCATCCAAACAGAGTTTATGTTGGAAAATTATATGCACATCGAAAGCATACCAGAATCATGTTGCTTACATGAATAATAGATAATTAATAATGTTTATGCTAGAACACATATAATCATGCTAGAACTCATAAAATTATTGAAATTTAATTTACATATTATCTCTTGAAGCGCGAGTAGATACCTTCAACCGAATCCACAAGTTAGACGGACCTTCAAGCAAATATCCACAAGATAGACAACAACTTTGTAGTCTTCTACAAAATTAAGTTGTCTTCCCAATTAAGTAATAAATAATAAAATATACATGTCATCATATCATACAAAATGAAAAAGGTTAAACAAAAGAATATATTTTATCTTTTACAATAGTTCTATTGCGTATCCTACTCTTCTTAATTATTATGTGTCATATTATGTAACAATGGAAAATAATACAATCTATTCAATCGTGATATATATTAAAACAATAGAGTACGATACAATATGACGTAACAACCATCCAAACAGAGTTTATGTTGGAAAATTATATGCACAACAAAAGCATACCAAAATCATACTGCTTACATGAATAATAGATAACCAATGTTTATGCTAGAACACATATAATCATGCTAGAACACATAAACTTGTTGAAATTTAATTTAAGAATTACCTCTTGAAGCGTGAGTAGATACCTTCAACCGAATCCACAAGTTAGACGGACATTCAAGCGAATATCCACAAGATAGACAACAACTTTGTAGTCTTCTACAATGATCCCAAGTTCACATGTGAACTCTTTCAATACTTGAGTGAGCAAGTATCGTATAGAAAACTTATTATTTTTCTAGGCTAGAAGAAACCCTACTTTTAGAGATTTCTTCCCACTCTAACAAGGAGAAGAAAAATACATGTTACTTTCAAAACCAAGAAAGTCACCGTAACACCTCACTATTTGAAAGAACTAGAAATAGTTAGAATTAGAAAGAGTCATTTTTGGAAATAATGAAAATCTGGAAATTTGACAAAATTAAGTATAGTATGAGTTTTGGGTCAACTTCAAACGACCATAACTACTATCTCATGATGACTTAGGTATTCTACAAGATACCGTAGGAAATATGCTTTAATTATCTTTCCAACGCCGCCGAGTTTGCTCAGTTTCGAGTTCGTATGAGTGAGATATGTCCATTTGAAGTTGGGCAGTCTAGATAAGAAAAGTCAAAACCGGATTTTTGAAGGGTATTATGATCTTTTCATTACCCAATTAAATTAATTCGTTTTTGGTCATTACTTAGGGGTCTAAACTGAATTTGGTCAGTTTACGCACTCAAAGATTTCACGCTAGGGTTTTTAGAGAAAGAACGCAAGAGGAGAAAAGAGGAGAAAGAGCCAAAGTTCATCGTTCTTGAGGATTTTGCTTGTGGATTTCATCAAGGGGTGATCGCTACGAGGTATGTGAGATCACACTTCGTTGGGTTAGTTCACTCACATGCCAATCATGATTTATTTTAGTGTATTGTCATTCTTGAAATTAGAGGAATTGAGTTCTTGATGAATATTGTTGAAAGTTTCTTGAGTTCAAATTCATGAAATTAGGTGTCGTTTTGAGTAGATTCTTGCATATTTTGGTTATGTAGTCGAATCTAAGTGTTTGGGGTAAGAACCAATCGAACCTAGAGGTTTTAAAGTTGAAAAACGACCAAGAAAAATTGAGGATTTCTGGCAGGGGCCTAGGGCGCCGCGCTAGCCAGAGCGCCCCAGAAGTGTTTCTGAAATTTGGGGCTTGAGGCGCGCGCCAGCCAGAGCGCCCCAACTTCAGTTCTGAAGTTTTGCTCCTGGCGCCCTGCGCCACTCAGAGCGCCAAGGATGTCTGGTCTTCTACTTTTTCCCACATCTTTTCGTACTAGTTTCCTTGAAACATACCTATGTTTCCTAGTTGATTCCTACACTCTAAGATACGTTTAAACAACATGAAATCATCAATAACATGAGATCATGAGCCTTGAATCCATAATTCAATTCAAGGAAAGTTAAGAGTCAAGTCAAGAGAAGTTCATAGAGTTTTCCAAAGGTCTTTTACAAACGTTTTAACTTTATTTTAAGACTTGAGTTTTGAGTTGAGTAAAGAGTAATGATTGAAGTTCATTTCTTCAAAAGAGTATATGGGGACTATGTATTCCCAATGAGTAAAATGTTTTCACATTTAAACAAGAAATGAAATTTTGATTTCCAAAAGAGCCTTTGAGCTAGTTTTCATTAAAGAGTAAATGCTTTCACAATTAAGCAAGAGAGGAAGCTTTGTTTTCCAAGATAGCCTTTGAGCTAAGTTTTGAGCAATTATCTCAAACTAGAGAAAGAAGTATGTCTTTAAACATAAGAGCTAGTACATATTTTGGGAGTAGTATTGAGCACCGATATGAAGGAGAGTTCAAACAACTCCCAGCCCCCATAAATAGTGGCGGAGCCAGAAATTTCATCAAGGGTGTTCAATTGTTTTTTTTTAATAAATGAGTTGAATGTTATTTATTTAACCTAGTGATTCTACCATGAACGATCTAAACATTTGTCAGTATCAAATATAAACAATCGAGTTTTTCTTCTTCTTTTTGATGCATTGACTTTATATGATAAAAAAATATGATTATTGTTTTTAAAGTGAAATATTGATAGAACAAATGCATCTAGCTTTACGAAATATAAATCACACCAGCAGGAATTTTTTTCTTAAAAAGAAGAAGAAGATAAAATGCATGTATTGATTTTAGCTTTGGGTTTAAAGTTGTTAACATATATAAACACAATTTTTTTAATGTAAAATGTTGCCTTTTTTGTTTTCACCATTCGAAAGTACATTATATCCTAGATAAAAATTAGAAATACATGATTTTTAATATTCAAAATTAAAATAATTTATTCATATATGTTACTCTATATTATTAAAATTTTAATATTAATAATTAAGAAACTTGAGGAACATGATAATGGTGTGCGAGGTTGTGTTCTATATCAAATTAAAATTAAAACGGTTGTGTGCTCCATTGGATTCGAACCTGCGCACAAAGGGTGGAAATGAACAAGCTTTACCACTGTGCCACGGAAGAGTTTATGTTAAGGTTGTTCAACATTAATTATTTATCCCTTAAATACAGAATTTGACCTCTTTATATCGTTTAATTTTTCGGCGAAGGGTGGTCAGCTGACCACCCTTCGATGGCTGTAGCTCCGCCCCTGCCCATAAACCATGTAGCCACCATGGGTAGAAATGGGTCTTACTTTTTAGATGATTCCTTAGTGATTTTTAGCATAGACTAGTGGATCCACTTAGTCGTCAAGTTCTATACCCTCGGCAAGGTATAGGATGACCCTGGCAGCGTGAGGCAAAATGTTGTATCATCACAATAACTCTTAAATGATGGTTGTCGGTTAGTGAAATTCCCACATCAGTATTATTTTGTATTTTTATATACATTTGAGAGTTATATTGTATCCTTGCATACACATCAACATTACTATTGTATTTCTAAATACACAGAGTTGTTAGCCATGTTTTAAAAAGCTTTTTCTTTATATTGCATTTACATTATTGCTTTATATTGAAATGAGTTTAGTTCAATTCAGTTGAGTTGAGTTAAGACTAGGTTTGTTCTTTTAGTTTCTGTCAAGCTTATGTCTTGTTTTAGTATTCCCCTCGCATGCTCGTACATTCAATGTACTAATTCCATTTGACCTGCATCTTTTAATAATGCAGATACAAGTAACCAAAATCAGTATCCAGCGTATCGTTGATTATAGTTGAGCTCCAGAGTTGTTGGTGAGCCTCATTGCTTTCGGGATCCCTTTTATTGCTTTCAGTATTTAGTCCATTAGGATGTCGCCGTGGGTCTTGTCCCGACATCCATATAAGTTTTAGAGGCTTCATAGATAAGTAGTTAGATATGAGTTCATTAGTCTTGTATTTCAAATGTTTTTCTATGAGACTTGAGTAGTCATCTTGGCTAGTTTGAATGTTTCTTTAAAGACATTCTAAGTTTATTTTATACGTTCCTTATTTGAGACTATTTCTTGTGTTTAAGTCTTCCGCTGAGCAAGTAAGCCAGACCAAGGGTTCACTTTGGGCCAACAATGGTTCTCGAGTGCCAGTCCTGCCCAGGGTGTAGGCTCAGGGCGTGACAAACTTGGTATCAGAGCACATAGTTCAAGAGTCCTAGGGAGTCTATGAAGCCGTATCTGTAGAGTCCTAGTTATCGGTGTGAAGCGCGCCACATCTATAATTAGGAGGTTGCGACACTTAGGAAACTATCTCATTTCTTTCATACTCATTTCGTGCGATAAAGTGTATCTCTATAAAGTCTCTTTCTAACTCGTGTGTGCGAGTGTCTTTCAGATCATGCCTCCACGAAGAGCTGTCAGAGGTCGTCCGACTAGAAGAAATGTTGAACCACAGGAACAAGGGGTACCTAATGCACCATAAGTACAACCCTAAGGAGAAAACATTTGGAATATCAACCCAATTAACTTTGTTGTCCTCTATTAGTATAAAATTTATATAGGCCTAATGCATATAAAGAAAACATTTGGAATATCAACCCAATTAACTTAAAAAATAATAAAATAAACATGTCATCATATCATACAAAATGAAAAAGATTAAACAAAACAATATATTTTATATTTTATAATAGTTCTATTGCGTATCCTACTTTCTTATAAATTTATTCTTCAAATTATTGATGTGTCACATAAAATGATACAATCTATTCTATCAAAATATTTATTAAAGCAATAAAGTACGATAAACCAATGATTTACAACTCATAGTGAATGTTAATTGGCAGCTGGAGTTGATCAGAAGGAGACAACTAGTCAATGAATGTTGCTTCACACTAATTTATTAGGAAAGTACAGTGCAGCTTCCACCCTAAATAACGCAAAATTGAAGTTACTTCAAACAGAAATAACTACGTTGACTTCAAGTATGAGCTCTTTATTCTATTCATACTGACTTCACTATCACTACCAAATGAAAAGGAACACAATGGGAAGTATCAATGAAAAAATGCAAATGTTCTTCCTTATTTTTTCCGTCCTAATTAGTCCGTCATTCCAAGAAAGTTTACAATTGGAACAGTCCGTGTTGTTAAAATTGAAACAACACTGGAGCAATTCGGAGTTCCTCCAGTCATGGGATTTGAATTCTTCAGAATGCACTTGGTCAGGAGTTTCATGCATCGATGACAGGGTAGTGACACAACTACATCTTGGAGGAAAAAACATTACTGGAACAATTTCATCGACAATATGTGAGCTCAAGAACCTTACCTTCATTGATCTCTCCAACAACAATGTTTCAGGAATCATACCAGTAAGCCTGAAAGATTGCTCAATGTTACAACATTTGGACTTGTCCAATAATTCTTTGAGCGACCGGATTCCAGGTGAGTTGTTTGAGATGAAACAATTACTCAATTTATATCTTAATGGTAATATGTTGTCTGGTGAGATGCCAAAAGAAATATCATCATCCCAGCTGAAAAATCTTAATCTCTCTGAGAACTACCTGAACGGTTCGATACCAGAAGATATTGGTAACTTGAAAAATATTGTGAAATTGGACATGTCACATAATTCTTTAAGTGGTTCAATTACAAATCAGTTGTTTCAGTTGCATCATTTGCGTCACCTGTCGCTAAGTTCCAACTACTTGTCCGGTGTGATACCTGATGAAATGGACTTGTTTAGTTTATACGATATGGATCTTTCACATAACCAATTGACTGGTTCTATACCAAAGGGATTTCGGTATTTACCTGGACTACATGCTCTGGATTTGTCGTATAATCAGTTATCAGGAGATATTTCGCAAAGTATAGAACATCTTAGGCCTAGAAATACTTTAAGGCTTTGTTCCAACAAACTCTCAGGAAGAATTTCTGCTGAATTTGTGAAGTTAACATACGAAGAGAATTGCTTTGATGAGTCCAATCTTTGTTCTACATCCAACAACTTATCCATCCCCAGCCTACCAAGCTGCTCCTCCTCTGATGAGGTTCAAAAATCTTCGAGACCAAAACACTTGATTATCATTATTTCTGTTGTAGGAGTTGGGGTAGCTATACAGTTAACATGGATATTTTACATGGTCAGAAAGCATTGTTGGAAAACAAAGAAGCAGAATGTCAAAGATGACATGAAGTTCATTTCATTTCAGAAGTTGAAGGTGACTACAGAAGACATTTTGTCTAGCTTGAAAGACGAAAACATAATAGGAAATGGAGGATCAGGGAAGGTCTATCGAGTTGTGATTGATCAAACAGGCAATACTTATGCTGTTAAAAGCATAGGGCATGGAGAAAAATCAGGTAGAAGACACCAAAAGGAGTTCCTGGCAGAAGTTAGAACACTTGGTAGCATTCGACACAACAACATTGTCAAGCTCATGTGTTGCATCTCAAGTTTAGACAGAAAGCTTCTAGTCTATGAATACTTTGAGAAACAAAGCCTCGACAAATGGCTTCACGGAAGGAAAAGAGAAGCATCACCAGGTCAAAGTAGTACCCTGGCCCTGGATTGGCGAAAGAGACTAAATATAGCCATTGGTGCAGCTCAAGGACTATGCTATATGCACCATCATTGCACTCGAGCCATCATTCATAGAGACATTAAGTCCAGCAATATCCTTCTGGACTCAGAATTCAATGCAAAAATAGCAGATTTTGGACTAGCAAAAATACTATCCAGGCGGGATGACGATCCTGAGACAGCTTCTGCTATTGCTGGAACATTTGGTTACATTGCACCAGGTACATTACAGTTCAAACATGTATGAATATTCAATCTTTTAAAATCCAATTATAATATATCAAATTTTAATATTCGGTCCTGACAGAGTATGGCTCGACATTCAAAGTGAACGTAAAGATTGATATCTATAGCTATGGAGTGGTGTTATTAGAATTGACAACAGGGAGAGAACCCATTCTCAGGGATGAGCAAATGAATCTAGCACAATGGGCGCTACAGTGCTACAGAGAGGGGAATTCCATTCTCGAGGCCCTGGATAAAGAAGTGATGGAAACAAGTAATTTGGAACAAATGAGAAGTGTTTTTAAACTAGGAGTGATGTGTACAGGAGCATCACCATCTGGTAGGCCATCAATGAAGGAGGTTTGTTATGTTCTCCAAAGCTGCAGAGACTCTAATATTTGTGAGAAACAAACATAATTGTAAATAGAGATGATTAGAGTCTTTGATGATTTATGCAAATAGTATCTACTCATTTGTCAGGTACTGGCTTTGAAGATTATAAAAAAACTTTACGGTTCCTTGTGACTAATCCTATTTCGAGATTAAATCTGTCTGTATGACTAATTTACCAAAGTGATGTTATAAGATCTAAGAATATATGTATTGTTACCAATATTGATATTGATGATGGCTGGTTTGTTCTTGTTGACAAGTAACTTTGATCGCAAATCTTCATAATCAATTTCCCCATTAACTAAAGTGTTAATCGTTTCTAGCTCCATTCGATACAATCTTGCTGCTTTGAAAATCGAGTAATGTGAATATTTTGATGCATATAATATCCCACTAGGATGTAGCTCTCTTCTGCACAAATATATATTGTTCAAATGCATAGTGAAAGTGATAAAAGCACATACATCATTTAGACATCTCCGACTATATTAATGTTATGCTTAAATAAACTCGAAGCCCAAAAACTAGATCCGCCTCTGGAAATGAAACCTACCCAACCAAAAGGCCATGGAGATTTCCCTCAGTACCACCACTAGTAATGCATCCCCAATATTCATCTTTCTCTATTTCCCAGAGTTGAGCAAACCAATCTAAAACAGCTACTTCAAAATCTTTTGAATGGAAATCTGTAGGGCTTTGAGTGAAGGGATCTCCACAGTTGTTCAAGGAAAATTGCAAAAGTGGTGCTAAAATAGTTTGATGTTCGTAACACATGTTAATTGGATAACCTGTAAATTAAGAATAAAATTATAAGTATTTGATTGAATCAAAAGTGTTTATAAGTTATAAAATTAGTTAGGGATAACCAATGTATGCCTTTCAACTCATAAATACTTTGATAAACAAAGGAGTGAAATTGAGTTATGTAATCAATAAAATAGTTTAAATGAGTATCTTTTTGTTTTTTAAAAATTTAGCTTAAAATAAAATTTATTTCAACAAAATTTAATTAAAAAATTGTTTAAATTGATTGGGTGATTTTCTAAGTGAAATATCAATAATTGAGTGACTTTTGAGATATATAACAATGCTGAGTAACTTTCTAAGTAAAAAATCTATAGTTGAATGACTTTGAGTTAGAACACAAAATTGAGTGATTTTTCAAGATAAAAATCCTTAATTGAGTGGCTTTTAAACCTATTAGAGATTTTACCTCACTAATGTTTGTTTAATTTTGTTGAGTTAAAACTAAATATTTTTGTATGAAAAGACTTAACATATGCTTACCAATATGATACTTTTTCTGCTTGGACAATGTCTCCAAATATTGAGCCAAAATTATGTCCAGTTTTTGTGAAGATGTTTCATTTTCAATATTAGGTTCCACCACACTAAGACATAAATTCTTCCTTGATAGCGATGGTGTGTCGATATCACCTTTTGTTGAGACTGCCATTAAATCAAACTCCTATTTCATAACCAAAAAGAAGGAAAAAAGATTCAAACATATGCTTTATGATTTAATAAAATGATCAATAAATTAATTATGGTTAATAAATAATGAATTGGTCTTTGAACTTGAGACAGACATATAGTTATATACTTCTAAAAAAAATCTTGAAAAATTAAGCATATACATACCTTTCGAATTCCCATTCTTAGAGCTAAAGGGGTGTGTATAAGAACTTGTGGGAATCAAAATGGAGATGAAATTTTTGTGCTTGCTACTATCTTTTGGCTCCCTCCAATTATAACAATAATGTTTGCCTTCTTAACTTTTGTTTGGTAAATCTTGAATTTCATCACCATCATATTAGGACCGTTAAAGAAAATATCTCCACTTTTTTCATCATTAGGAGAGAAGAGCAGGGGCGGATCTAGTGAATCTAGAGGGTATTTATTCGAATTCATTCAATAAAAAATTATATTATATTATATATATATATATATATATATATATATATATATATATATATATATAAGGTAATTTTTATATATTTATGTATATATATAAATTCTTTAGTCCCCTAAACATAAAATAAGAATTTGACTCAGTAATTTAAAAGTTCAAAATTTCTCTTGAGATTCCAAATTTAAATTTGCAATATCATCTTGTACGAGGAGTTGGAAATGGACACTTGTCACTTGCCAAAGTTGTTGCATCCGATTGAGTGTTTCTGTAGTGGGTTCGTTTTTTGTCCAAAAAATAGTTAAGCAATTTGTAAGATTTGAATAAAATAAATAAATAAAAGATTTAACACTTATTTTAAGTCAAAGCAGTATACGTACTAATGGCTGTGAATTTAAAATTTTAAACTTATGGGTTCAAAAAAATAAGAGAGAAGTTGTTATTTGCAGTTTTGATGATTCGACAAACAGAGGAACCTTGTAAGGGGACCTGATCCTTTGCATCATTATTCGTACAATTGACAGCTGGAAAAAGTACACAAATTTGGTGAGGTTGGTGCACGGTCTCCGAGTGTGGAAGAAACCTCGGTTAATGGCAAGGCCTTGGAGGTTGTGTCTATTCTCAATAAGGACATCCTTCAATAGACACAACCTCAGTTTTTGCATCTCTGAAAATCTCTCAAGAACCAAAAGCAAAACCACTCCTTTCAAGAAGTATTCACCTGAAGAGCAACAGGGACAAGATAGAGCAGCTTGCGTCTTAGTTGTCTTAGGTTTTATTTCCGTGCTTATGTTGTAAATCTAATCCTGGGCTATAAAGGAATTAGATCATTTGTTTGTTCAAGTTATAAAGTCTAAATTAGTTGAGGTTAACTGATTTAGTGGGCAACATTGTTTGTTGCTTAGTCAAATCCTAAGTCATCTAGTGGTTAGTGGGCAACCGTACGTGTGTGTTGCTTAGTGAATTCTAAGTTACTTGAGTTGGGTAGTTTAGTGGGCAATAGTGATATTGCTTAGTTGCTCTATTTGTGGTGGGGTTACTACATTTAGGGGGAAGGGATTTTGAGGTAAATTCCTAGGTTGCAAGCTATTGTAATCTAAATCGTTGCTCTATTTGGAAGAAATGGAGTTTGGTTTGAAAAGCCTGTGAGGATAGGTCGTGGTTTTCACCGCCCTTGGAGCAAGGGGGTTTCCACGTAAAGTGCTTGTGTTGCTTTACTTACATTGCTTATTTATTGCTTGTGCCTGCATTATTGTTCTTACCATGTCAAGGGACCTGGTCCATTGACTCCTAGTGGACACCTATATTCTAACAGAAGCATTAAAAAACAATTTCAAACTTGGCGTGAAATATTAGTTTCGTCCTCGAACTATCAATAGACTTAAAAACACCCCTATCAAGAACTAAGCTTAAATACACTCCTCTCATTCCACACACAAAAATGTGTCATTCACGTGCTACATGTGGATTTTCTTTTACTAATGTGACATATATATAAAATTTTAAAAATAAAAATAGAGGAAATTTGTTATTTCTTTAATTTAATTTTAAAAAATTAACATAAAGAAATAAAAATTAGAGGGGTTTGGTTATAGTTCAGGGTCACCCCTCTCTTTCCGGCCAATTTTTTTCTCCAATCTCACAACATAACCCTTTAATTTCAAAGTGGTAATGATATTCTTTTCTTTATTTTGTTAGGATTTTATTTGCGTTTTTCTTACTGATGGGTTTTGTTTGCTGCCATATTTTGCTTATCTTGTTTAGCATCGTCTACAAGGTTAGTATCTTAAATTTCAATTTGAAATTTCCTAGGGTTTTGTTTGCTATCATATTTTACTCATCTTGTTTAGCATCGTCTACAAGGTTAGTATCTTAACGTTGCTGTGAGATCCACATCGACAAAAAATAGTTATGAATACAATAAGAGGAGAGAGAATACTTTGCCTATGAAATCAAACAACTAAAAGAGAGTGGAATTTTTTTTAGGTCAGTTTTAATGGAGAAGAAGTTAAATAGGAAGAAGAAGAGTTTTGTAGCAGTTGGAGAGTTCTGGCTGAAATCGTTCTTAAACTATTGCACAAACTTAAAGTACATCCTTCTACTGCAATAATGAACAAAACACATCCCTTATTTTCCCCAAAAATTGCATACTCATCCTTCTGTTAGTTTTTCTTCAACACACTAACGGTTACAACTTAAACATGTTCTAAGCATGGTGATTCTCCCACTCCCCCAAACTAAATCTGCCTATTTTGTCCTTTTTAATAATCTTCATTGGTTTCAACCTTTGAGATATATTTTTGGGACAAGGATCTGAAAAATACCCCAACTTTGGTCGGATTTGCTGTTGCGATACTAAACTTTCATAAAGACCTATTATCTCCCTAGACTATTTTAAAATATGGTATTAAATAGTCTAAGGAGATAATAGGTTCTCATGAAAGTTTAGGATATTTTTCATACCTTTATCCCTATATTTTTTCCTCATCGATTTTGGGAGTTATCTACTCCTATGACATATAGTACTCTTTTCGTCTCAATTTTACTTTAAATTTCGAGAAGTTAAACTTCATTATTTTAATCATGCATTTGAATATACCATCTTTAATATTTTTTAAGAGTAATTTACATATTTAGAAATTAATAAAAAGTATGGTACAAGAACTAATAATTTAAAATATTTTAAAAAAAACATAGGAATAAATTAGGATAAAGAAATTTCTACTTTAACTCTTGAATTTGAACTATGTCATATAAATTGAGATACGAAGAAATAACAATTTTATCATTCATATCTTCACCAAAACAAGTGTTATAAACTATTCAAATGTGTGTCAATGAAAGACAAATTTGGTTGTGCAGTCGTGCGCCAACTTTACCAAATTTGAAACAATGGAGAAACAGGTTATTGGCGCTTAGTGCAGTTTGAGATGGGGCACTGTAGCTCAAAATATAGTGTAGAGGATGATCGGAATTAGGAGATTTTGGGGGAAAGCCACATGCTTTGCGGTAGCCGGTAGCTAGTTAGTTTTTTGACAAAAATAAACAGAAGAATGAATATTGCAACTTTTTAGATAGATGAAGGATGGTTTTTGTTCAGTATAATAATATAAGGATGTATCCTAAGACTAGGCCATAGCTTAGGATGATTTTAGCCAAAAACTCGCCGTTGAAAACTAAAATTTGAGGGGAATTTTT